ATGCACACAAAATGTTTTTCCATTTTTCTTATAACCACAGTTAAGCCATTCGTCAATAGTGGAAGTTAGTGACCCATTTTACAGTTTGGTCACGTGAACTTAAAGAAACAGGAACTGAACATAAACGTGAATATTTTCTTATCTATCCCAAGTCAAGGTGTCATTGCGATCATCGAACATTGCACATTTTGCTGATATCGTGCAGGCCTACAGGCTACAATAACAAAAGGTATGGTGATGTTGCTCAGATTGCGGGAAGCAGCCAAATAAATAGGTGAATACTGTTGAGCTCCTGTTGGACAAGAGTGTTAGTCTAAGCTAACTGTGGACAAACCTCTAATATGCCACTTGGGGGTTCGTGAACATAACGTAAAACGGTCAAATAAGAAAATACAACCATGCCGCGATGTCTCGATATTTTTAACAAGATGATTCTGCAATAATTTTCACAACCATTTCTCCACCCAGTGTTGAAGTATATGTGTTTTTTTATATAATCCCCATATGGCGTTCCACAGATGTTTAACTATGTTGCTTTTCAACGGTTCTGGCATCGTAACTTGTCCACAAGAGGAGGTAGAGGGGGACAGATACGATAAAGCTTTAGCTTGCTTAGAGCAACACCACACAGTGTCCCTGTTTTCTTTTACTGATGATAAAAAGGGGCTTTTAAGGTTAGAACATGTAGTTCGGTTTCTCAAATAAGGTCTGCTGCTAACTACAGTAGTTTGAACCTGCTTCATAGAATCCTAAATTAATTTGCTGATTTAGTGATTACATTTTTACAAAGGCATGAGAACCAAGAAGAGCAGGGTTCATCAAGACCATGAAATGGTAATGTCACTGCACCAAGACAAAAAAAGCAAACCCTATTATACTTACACACGCACGTTTCATCCACTGCCATGGTACACCCAGACACCAGAGTGTGCTGTAAATTGTCCAGAGCAGGACAGAGATGTAAGACAGAACGAAGCAGACATTAAAGGATTCATTTCAAACAGCGCAGGGAGAACTCATATAAAAGAAAGTCTTAGAGGGGAACTGTTTCAACAACGCTTTTCATGAATGCTTGGATTTCTACTTTGAAGCCCAACAGATGTGTGCATGTAATCTAAAAGGCATTTGGCTTTTGTTCATCAGCAAAGGGTCTCTATAGACTGGACAGGCCTGACATTCAAAAAATGTGTTTGCGATAGAACATCCAAAGATGAAAAGAAAGGCCTAAGAGAGAAAAATATTTCACGGTTTTGCACATTATAACAACATCCTTAACGGTACGCCAGGAGATCCAGGCATTTTTGGGCTTAGCAGACGTCTTTTCTTCTACAATGTGAGAACAATATCTTTACTATTTCCCCTCTCAGTCAAGCATCTTCCTGAAAAGAGAATGCGATCCGAACTCCCAAGAGCTCACTTCCTGTTCATGGAACTCTACTGCCTCAGTCGGGTCCTGCAAACTACTCAGAGAAATCACACTGCAAACCCACAATCGTAATCTTCATTTTCAAGTTTAAATGGATTTTGTAAAGGCTGATGCGTTTACAGTCTAAGTGGGTGCAAAATATTTAAGTAAAAGCAGGTTTACTTTGTCAACTGAAGACAGAGCTCTACTTATGTCATTTATGTCAATTGGGCCTATATTACTGAGAAAAGATAACGTAATGGGGGCTTTTAGAGGGCTGTACCAGCTAAGAGCCCGGTTATCCAAGGAAATGGAAAGAATAAAATGTGTTCAAACAGGGACAGAGGAAAATACTGTACAGTGTGGAGCTCTATGTAGAGACAGAAGCGTCTCGGCTGCTGACTGTAAAGCAGTACCTTAATGGACTCTAGGAGACAAGTTTAAAACAAAAAATTAAAATTCTGAGTCACCTCTGCAATACATTGCGTCTAAATTGGTTTTATCATCTTTTGTTAATGGAGTTTTTTTTATTATTTAAACGTATAGTTTATTGAGTATTGCCTTTGTAACATATATAGAGTTGCAAAATGGGGTTTGTTTTTGGAATTTGCTGAAATGATAGTCAATTTTAATTTACAAATGTCGATCAATTGAAGAAAAGCCACACATCAACATAGAAGCTGTTTTATGTTTTTTTCTTTTTAGTTGTCTTAATTGAACTGACTCCACTACACAAACAATTTCAGATAAAAAGTTTTAACTCAAAGTCTATTTGCAAAATAAGGTTAGACAGAAGGCATTGCCTAACCCCTTATCCTAACAATAATCTTTAAAAATGTACGCTTAATCTTACCCTAATCCGGTCTGGAATATAATCCTAACTTCAAACCCAATGTTAAACCTCAAAAAGCAAGCCATTCTACAAAAAAAAGTCCCCACATAGACAGCTATACTTGGACCACACACGCACAACCAACTGATGTATGTGGTACAAACGTCTTCTCTAGAAAACAATGGAGCTTTTACGACCACTCTTAAAGCAGTAAAGTGCACTTACATGCTGTCAATTTAAGAGCACGGTACACCTGCCATCATTGATCTTATCACTTGGGATTTCTGTGAATCAGAATTGATTTAAACTCAAAGACAGATTGGACTAATGTCATATAACGGTTTGTCAAACAAAGATTGACGTAAGTCGCGTTTTTTGCGCTCAGTTCTCTCAAAATACTTCAATGATATTGTAAGTATGACAATGTAAAAAACCAATCCAGACTCAAGCAGGAGAAACGCAATTATTAAGACACCCACATTTCAGTTTATCCATGTAAACACTCCATTACAGATCCAAACATGGAGTAACTCAACATGCTGCCAGGTCAGACTGCCACAAATGGATCACAACAGTTTACCATACATGCCAGGGGGAGACGGTGGAATCTAAAGGCCTCTCAGGAGCCTCCTACATACAGCAGTCGCCCTGGGATTTGCCTGTCTCAGTATTTAGTCATCAGATTAACCAGCAGCACCAAGTCGCTCGCTGTAACCATAAATGCTGACCTAGTAAAATCATTTTCCACTGGTAAGCAAACACACTCACTGCTCATAAGCACAGCTCATATAAAATGACATATTAAAACAGCAGGGGTGTCAGCACATACATTTCCAACTCAAATTGTTCGAGACTACTAAAGGGCAATATTTCATCTTAACAAAATAATAATTCCAAGGCAATATTTCATCTTAACAAAATAATAACGTATTATTGGTTGTTTCTTGTTGTGCTTTAATGTTATTAATGGGCACCGTGCTTATCCACTCCTGTCTGTTGTTTAATAAGAATGTGCTCTCTTTCATTAGGGACCTCACACTGATTTACTATTCTGCAGGTAAAATTAATGTTGTGAACATTTAGATAAACCTTCCTGCACAAACCCTGAGAGGATACTGTGTGGGAAGCTCATCAGTGAAGGACAGCTGAAGAGCTCCTCCAGATGTATTTGATTTAAACAGTCAAGTTCTACAAATGCATATTAAGGAAGTCCACGTTATTTAACCTTATCTTTATAATACATTTCTCCAAAGACATGCATTTGAAAGCAGTGTTTCTGTTGGACATGTTTAAGCAGTGATTCCCTCACCTCTGCTTTTCCGGCCTGTGTTCACCTTCATGACAAACGAGCAAATATGGGAGTACTATAGTACTATTTATATAATACAATACAATGACTCTGAGTCACTAAACGTACAACTTTATGCAGGTAGATTTCGAATTATTTAACTAAAACATGAGCGTATATAGTCTAGAGCTGAGAGACAATAGCGGGGGAAAAGGGTTCAGGACGTCTCTGCACATAAAACATTTAAAGGCCATTGCTGGCAGACGGGGATACCACTAACCTTAACTAACACTGAGACTGACGCAAAAAAAGACATGTTTTTGTGTGTTGGTTTACGACAGAATGAGGGATGGAACAAAAACTGTTGATTTCTATTTAATACATTTCTTTGTTTCTCAAATATTGGGCATATCTTTTAAAAAAACAAAAGACACTTTTTAATCAACTTAGAAGTAGAAAATAAGAAACAGACATCAAAACAAATCTTGACCGTATTATGACCGAAGAGAAGACCTGACCTAGCCAAAAATAATGCTCCATTGCCTGGCTTCAATAGCTCGCAGCACCAGCTTATTTGTTGAGCTGCACTTTTTAAAAACATCAGGAAGAACTTTGATTTGTGTCCCCATTTGAAACAAATGACAAATGTAAAAACTTAATCATAAATGTACCTCAAACTACCTACACACTACATCACAAAAAATAGGGTATATAAAATAACTTACAAGAATCAGCCATCTCTCCTTCGACTAACTTAGTTTTGAGTTTTAAAGGGAGCTGTCATTTGCATTACTGCCACCTACTGGGTTTACCTTATTTTGCTAACATGTCCACCCAGAAGCATGTGAAAGAAAGCAAATAGATATAACGCACAAGGAGGGAAGTGTCACTGCAGAGGACCACACCAAAATAAGAGTCAGTAGCATCAATGTCAGTTATTTTAGTTTTATTTTTAAGAACATTACTAATTACTCTACAGTTTAACTATCGTATTATAATCACACATGATTTGAAATAAAGATGCGAAAAGACGTGAGCAAAAAGTGTTCATTTCTTTATGACAAGGTTTAAAAACAGCAGGTGGTGAGGAGAATTTCAAAGTTAAGCTACAGAAATCTCTGCTGCCTCCGACCGTTTCAACTGTGTTCGTGTGTGTAATGGCAACATCCCAGAGAGGATGTTAAAGCGGCTCTGCTAATCTCACACTGTGCAGCTGAAATTCACAGGCGCCAGCGGCGGAAACGACTCTGTTCGCTGCTGAAAACTGCGGCTTATTGCAACTGAAACTGTTAAAAAAAAGAAAAGTAAGACGCGAGCCTCTCGTCTCTCCACTACAACTACTACTACAACTACAAGTACAACTGCTGCTGCCGCTATTTCTACCACAGAAAATCCGCCGTCTTCAGCCTCGTTCAGTTACATATGCTCCTTTCCTCAGTCTCGCACCTTAAAAACTGTTTAAACTGTGGACTCACCTCACTCCGGGGCGCGGTGTTCACACCAGGGACGAAGAAGGGCAAAGAGCCGGCAGTGGTATCCTGGAGATGTAAACTTGTCCAGTTTACCGCTGCTGTTAGGTACAAACAGTTAGCGTGTATGTGTGCGTGTGTCTGCAGACTCCGTCTCTTCTCCACAAGTCACTCCTTGGGGCGGGGCTAAATTGGTGGGCGGGGCCTAATGGCGGAAGCGTCCACAGAGTGAAGCCGCACCGTCGGTGTGAACGTTCCCATCTGTAAACGCAGAAATAGGGCACAGTGGTGGCCGTCGGTGTGAGCGTTCCCATCTGTAAACGCAGAAATAGGAACTTGAGGTACTAATTTGTACACATAAGAAAAGTTAAAAGATTACAAATATGTTACAAAAAAGTGAGTCATAATGAAACAGTAAACAAGTGAACATATAATAACAGTAATTGTAAATGACGTCTTTAAACACCTTACATTTTTAAAGTCCTGAGCATTAAGTCGTTAAGTACTTACATTTAGTAGCGAAAATATAAAACACTGAGTAGTAAGGAGAGAAATAGAGATAGACTGCTAACACCTGAACATTAATTTACTTAATTCATACAAATTGCAAAACATTTGTAAAACACTGAGCTTCAAAGACCTGAGCGATAATTGTGGTGATTGTCAACAGTATTACTAATTCTATTTTAAAACACTGTGCAGTAATGAAAGTAATTATTACCAAGAGGGCATTAAAGAAGCAGTCTAATTGGCAGGACATATTGTAGCCTTGATTGAGCCTTGAGTTCCTCAGGGTGACACTCTGGGGAGAAAATGTCTCTGTGGCTGCTGTTTTTTTGTTTGTTTTTTCTTTTAAAGAATACTCTGTAGACTTTGCCTGACAATAAATGTTTCAACAGTTAGTCCAATAACAGATTAATTTCTTCAGGGAGTTAGTTCACGACAGAAATATAAAAACACTATACAGGAAGTAAACAAGGCCTTTTTTAGGCCAATGGCAAAATAAGGAACTTCTCACTATAGACCATGTGAAAGAAAAGTGCAGTATATCTTCATGGCAGCATTTGTTTGCTGAGTGAAGGTACAGAAAAATACTTCAGTGCAGCAGTGGCTCCAGAAGTAGTTTATTATGAGTTTAAGTCCTTGAGAAGAATTATCATTATTCATCATTATTTTCCTAAAAAAATATTATCCACACGTTGGTATTGCACAACAGATTAAAACAACTTGGTTATTTGAATAAAGCCCGGGTGATATAACATCCAACAAGGACACATCTAAATGGCAAGAAGACACCTGAAAGCTTTTTTTACGACTTTTTTTACTTGTGAACTGTAAATGTTTTACAGCCGGAGCCAAATTATAAAACACAAATGTTGCATTGTCTTCTGAAGTCTGGTAGAGATTTTTTTATAATAAAAAAAACCTAAAAGTTAAAGTATACAACATAATGAAAAAATAAATAAATAAACACCAGTGACAGCACCCTAAGCTCTTCCTGAAAACCTCCCACAAAATCATTGAAGTAACTAAATGCCGCATCCCATGCATTATTCAGTGGTTTGTTTCGGGTGTTTCTTTTAAAAGTCACCAACACTAAATAGAAGCTCAATGGAGGAAAGAGTTTGTAGATTGTAGAAAACACTTTCTAGCCATAAATCTGGACATGGTGTAGTCAGCAGATGGTCACTGCAGGCTTCGCACCAGTAGAGGACAAAAAGGACGTCACGTCAACCTTCACAGGTGTGTGGACTTAGGTGAGTAAAGAGAGAGAGAAAAAGTACTTCACCTGCAACAACATTAGGGAAAACCCACATAGAACCACACTACATGAAGCCAGGTAAGAAAAGACACTGAGGAAAGTACACAGTAGTGTAAGTAGTTTCTACTGTATGCAAGGAGTAACTCTGCAAAGGCACACATTTCATATGTGGTAAATGATGTTGTTCTTCAGTGTAAACCTCTGACATTTGTTGTTATTGTACAAAAATAGAAGGTTTTAGAACTTGTTATATTTTATATATCTAGCACATAGCGTCATAGCAAAAAGTACTCATAACCAATGATTAAATACCTCCACTGTTTTGTTGCAAACATTAAAACATTGTTTCCCAAAGACTGGGTCGCGACCCTCAGGTGGGTCGCAAGAGTTTTTTGGGGGGTCGTCTCGCATCATGTTTCCCAGGAGTTTACGAGGAAGGTCCATTGACTTGGGTCGCGAAGGTTTTTAAAATATGGGTCCCCAGAAAAGAAGTTTGGGAAACACTGCATTCAAATATTTGCTCTTCCTCCGAAAGCGGAGTCTGCTCATCCCCCAGCTGTTCATCCAAGTTTTGTATAGTAAAAAAAACTCCCCAGGTAGGTCCTTGTGAGCCAAATATAAAAATCTGTGTGAGGTGAGATTTGTATCCACAAAGGGGAATATCTTTGCAGGATTTTTCATGTTGTCTCTTAAAGCCACCTGCACACATGTTCACCCACATGTAGGCCAACAGAACAGAGAGAGCCTGCGGTCCGCCTGAGTCACTACACTTTCTCTTCCATGTAGTGTAGTTTCACATTCGTCTCTGCTCTCAGTTACCCGAAGGCCTTCATTAAATCTGGCCGAGAGAAGAAAAAAAGTTTCAGACCAGACCTGAGTCAGAACCTACAACCTTACATTATTCTGAACCATTGTGGAGCTGGCCAGAGTACAGCGCAGGCGTAAAAGAGGTGGTGAACATAAATATAAACATAAGGTACAAAGATAAAGCACACTCAGATTAAACACTGAAACAATTCACTAACAATATTTCCATTGGCATTAGATTTCTAATGTATTCCACCGACTCGTCTACAGAATCAATATATCCCACAGAGAGTGAACCAAGTGTGAAACATTTCCCAGGTGTACGTGATAAAACATGCTGCAGGAAAAGAAAGAAGAAGAAGAAACTTTACTCTTTTTCTAAGATTTCTTTTACAAACTTTGGATTTTTTTTAATGTGGAGTTCGTTTGCTTCAGTGTACGTGGGTCTCTTTGTGTCAAACAGCAGGGAATCGCAGTCTTTTTTCTAATATTCTAGTGACAGACTTTGCTTTTTGATACAAGGCTTTAATTTTAGATTCCTCTCAAGTAGTTTTTCCTTCCTTCTTTCCTACTTGAACCAGTTAACCTGTTAACCATTTACTCATCCATGAATATTTCTATATAATGTTTCATATATTTAATGTTTTATACTGTATCATATCATATCATTTCATACGGCACCATACCATATCGAACTGTATCATATCATATCGTACCATATGATATTGTACCATATCGTATACAATACGATATATATATCGTACTGTATATATATAACGTATATAACGTATCGTACTATTCCATATGATATATATCGTATTGTATTGTACTGTATCGTATATAACGTATCGTACTATTCCATATACGTATCCGACCCCCAACCGTGTTTTGTACCAAGGACCGTTACTGCATTAAATTTTCAAAATAAAACATTTTTTAGACTTCTGTTAGTCTTGCAGTATCAATGATATCATTTTTAAATATTGCCAGATTATCTTTAAGTGAAGAAAGTAAATAGTGAGTGGGTTCTCTTCGAATAAAGTAAATCAGTTAAAAAGACAAAAAACTGTCTTACTGTGGTCCGCCACCAAATAATCTATGGACCAGTAGCAGTCCGCGGACCAGGGGTTGGGGGTCACTGCCGTATTGTATCATCTAACATTAAACATTTACACTTAGAAATATGTATTGACTCATTAAAGATAATAAACAACAACAAAAAACATTTTAAAAAATACCCATCGTTCAATATGTGTGTTTTTGAATCCTCAAAGTATCAGCACTTGTTGTTCATGGGGTAAAGTATTTTTCTTCCTCCCCTCCTAATCCAAATTCCCCCTCGTACCGCGGCTGTGGAAAATTGCAGACAGTCTTAAGACCTTCCATCTTTACATATTTCACAGATCTGTAATTGTACCACATCTTGCACTTCACAACAAGGGGGTTGGTTTGTGCTGCTTTGTTGGTGACATGACTCAACACAGCCCACAAGTTTAAAAAACATTTAAAAATAAAGGTTAGGTCTCTAAAGATGACACGCATGTCTACTCTGGAGCGATTTAACTTTGTTAGGGAGCGTCTGCACTCTTTGATTACGGATGATTAATGTCATCATCGGGCACTGCATCTCAAGGAGAGTCAGAGTCTTTCCATCATAATAGCAGACGTAATGTGTCTCTTTCTGAGTTACTCATCTAAAAAGTCAAATAATGATCATCTGCTCTGCAGATATGTCGTTTTTTCTGCATTGATCCAGCGTCTGTCTCTCTGTGATGAAGACTGAGCCAAGTCGCTGCTGACAGCTGCAAGATCTAATCCTCCAGTGGAGGTACTACCACATAATGAAAGTCTTCTTCTCGTCGTTCTTCACCGTCAATCTTACAGTATATTAATGAACGGTTATTCGTCAGCCCACGTGCACTTAATGCACTCCTCTGATTTAAAGGCTGTGCTGTCAATAATGCTGTGAGCTGCGTCCCCGTGGTTCACAGCGGTCAGGACTGTCAGGACGAGACGTGCTTCACAGCCAGGACCTCCTGAGTGTCCTATCATACAGTGAGTCAATGTGTGTGTGTGTGTGTTCACACACCTTTAGAAGCAGCATTAACAGACCATGATTCACTATCAGAGATTTAACTGGTTCCTAAAATCCTTTATTTTGCACCTGAGATCTCGTAGGGTCGATGTGGAATACTGCATTTGCATAATATCAAGTTTCACCGTGATTAAAATGTCTTTTCTGATTTATTCTTAGTTCAAGTGACTGGTTTGTTTCCTCATTCTCTGTAAAATTTAAGAGGAAATTATTTTATAATAGACCACCGTATTTATTTAGTACCAATTTTGCTGAGAGGGATGAAAAAAAAACCCAATTCTGCTGACCTCATCTCACTACTTTAGAGGACAATTGACTAAAGGACAAGTGAGTGTGTGGCTGTAAACTTTACCTTTAAAAATAAATAAATAAAAACAGTCACTAACAATATGAAGAAGAAATAAATTGAAATATGAAAAGTTGAAATCTTTTCCTGATACAATAGTTAATAACCTCTAGGTCAGAGTCCGGAGTTTAATTAAGAAAATAAAATAAATAAATGAAACTCGTTTTAA